TATCAGAACCATCCAAGCTTCAGCAGAAGGACTCAATAGCAGAGCCGAGGTCTTTGAACCAGGAAGGCCAATCCCTGAGAAGCACTAGTCCTTCAGTGCATATATTTTTGGCCCCTGTGGAAAGCATGTCACTCCTGCCCACCCACAGACGTACCCCCTACAACATGTGTTCTCTTAAATTTTTACTGCAAAGTCTTAAATATCTTTAAAATAACTCATTAAAAAGAAACCTCTTTTAAATGTATAACAGATGCACAGACTGACTGCGGGCAGCAAACTGTCATCACGCCTCTGTAGCTGCATTTTCACCTGCTCATGTGGTGTACACCTGTAACATGTTAGCTGGCAGGCCATCGGCTTGCTGGATCTCCTCAATTCAAGGGTGGGCTCACATCAGTGATTCCTCATTGGTGACTTTGAAAGGAAACGACCCTTCTTTCTTATAAATCAGATGAAGCAAGTTTTCTTAAGTGTAGTTAACTGAGCCACCACATTTTCTGCTGAAATAGGGAGCCCTGTGCTCAAAGTTCTGGCTTTTTATATAGCTAGGAACTAGGCCTCATTACTGAGTCGTGGCAGAATCGTGGCAGAATACAGTGGTACCTTGGTTTTCGAACGTAATCCATTCCAGAAGACCATTCAACTTCCAAAATGTTCAAAAACTGAGGTGCAAAGGGCGATCTGCAATTTCAATGGGGAAAATTGAAAAAAACTCAGCAGAAGCCATTTGACTTCCAAAAAGCTCTCGAAAACAGAAGCAATTACTTTCGGGTTTTTGGCATTCGAAAACCGAAACATTCAGCTTCCGATACGCTCAAAAACTGAGGTACCACTGTATATTGTATCAGTCAGTCACAGGACAGGATATGTCTGTTCAAGTAAATGATGCATAGCAAGTTTTGGGGCATATTGTACAATTGCCAATTTGCTGTTCACACAGTCTGTAATAACTGATATTTATTTAATAGGAAATATTTTGAAATATCACTTTCTAGCTTGGACAGCTTTAGAAAATGAAGGCAGATGTAGTCGTTCCCTCCTGATAATTCGATCTTCTTATGAAGATACTGGCCTGGTTTACACATAATGCTAAGCCATGTTTGGGGGTTTTTTAAGCTATTGTTTGTTTAAGTTGACCACTAGTTGCTCTACAGACCTTGTTTGCATGTAATACTAAGCCAAGCTATGGCTTAGTGTGTGTTCCTGGAAGGGAGATTGTAGCCGCTGTGCTCCTGCTTGGTCCTCCTTCTTCTGTAACTAAGGCATGGCTTGGCTTAGCATGTTGTCCGACTCCAGGCTCATGATTCGTCTCACTCCAAATGAATCATGAGTTTAACCAAGGTCTGTAGCATGACTTACCGCTTGTGGTTTGTCTGGAGGAGACAAACAATAAGCCTGGGTTCAGATGATTTGCTAAGCCAAATAATAGTTTTGCTCACAGCAGCACAAACAGCAGATGGACCAGGGAAGAAACTCAGTAGCCACAATCTCCTTTCTGGGTGTACTTGCGTGTACATGATAATGCTTACTCTCCCGTCCCTGAGTTATTTTCTCTTTTAACGGATTATATGTCTATAATTTAAAATCAGATTACCGTAGTTTTCCTCCTAGAAAGTAAGGGGAAATGTCTGTGCGTGTTACGGAGCGAATGCTTCCCTCCTCCATGGTTTCCAGCGGGAGAAGAGTCCCTGAATGGGGAGGAGAGAGGGACAGAGTGCCTGCTTCTTTAAAGGAGCAAAGCGGGAGGGGAGAGGAGCCACTTATACGAGTGTAAGCGGCTCCTGTATGGTTGGCTCCTTTAAAGCAAGCAGGCTCTCTGTATCTCTCTCGTCCCCACTCAGCGGCTCTCCTCCCGCTTTGCTGGAAATAGCAGGAAAGATTTTCAGCTCGCTAAGGGGGGGGGAGGAGGGAGAGAAGGAGAGCCTGCTTGCTTTAAAGGAGCAAAGCGAGAGAGGAGCCGCTTACACGAGTGTAAGCGGCTCCTGTCCGGTTGGCTCCTTTAAAGCAAAAAGCAAGCAGGCTCTCTGTATCTCTCTCCTCCCGCTTTGCTTTTCAGCTCCCAAGGGCGGGGGGGGGGGCGGGGAGGAGGGAGAGAAGCAGAACCTGCTTGCTTTAAAGGAGCCTACTGGACAGGAGCCACTTACACTCGTGTAAGCAGCTCCTGTCCGGTAGGCTCCTTTAAAGCAAGCAGGCTCTCTGTCCCTCCAGCAAAGCTTTCCAGCTCGCTAAGGGGGGGGGGGGAGGAGGGAGAAAAGTAGAGCCTGCTCCACGCGTGCTCCTTGTCCCTTGAGTGTTTTTCCTTCCCTCCCCACTTAAAACGTGGTTACAAAGCACAGATCCACATGGATCCTCAGGATTTTTGCACTGGGTCACCCCAAATTCACCATCAGATCACATAGCATGTCCATGCCTACAGTTTGCACCAAAAAAATCATGCACCCACTGTTGCCTGGGGCTGCAGTGGTGCAAAAACATGGTTACAAACATGGATCCACATGGATCCTCAGGATTTTTGCATTGGGCTACCCCAAACTCACCGTCAGATCACATGTCTGTGGCCACAGCATGAACCACAAAAAGCATACATCCACTGTTTCGTTTAGAATATTTTTTTTCTTGTTTTCCTCCTCTAAAAACTACATGCGTGTTATGGTCGGGTGCGTGTTATCGAGTGAAAAATACGGTATTTGGCTATAACCTGTATTATTTAAAGCCTGTTTAATGTTATAGTTTCCTCCCAATAAATATTGGTGATTATAGTTTTCTGAAGGTGCTTTGAGAACTTTGTTTGAAAGCCAACGTTAGGATACTCATTTGACCTACCTTACAGGGGGCATTCCTCTTTTGGAAGGATTATTATAAGGCAGTCCTCTCTTTGTAGGACTGTCTGGTCCAAGTCCACCTTGAAGATAAAGGACCATAAGAATGGAGAACAGGCACCTCAACGTTGCCTGCCAATAGTCAGCCCATGGACAGCGGAATCAGGTGATCAGGCCACAGTCTTCCCCACTAAACTAAGATGCATTGTATTTCTTTTTAAATAAAATCAATTCTATTATATTCCTAAATTTGCATCGAAGCATATACATTATAAAATGAAAAAATGTGCAAATCTCAGCCCATTTTCTTCCTCATTTTTAGTGGTGCATTAACTCTTTTCTGGTGGTACAGACCTCTGACCACCCTATCCCAGTCCTCTCAGAGACTCATCATTCCCTAGGATGCTGGCTGTGGGATGGAGTGTTGGGGAGAGGCTATAACCATTAAAGCCAATTTAATAACAGTTTACATTTGTAGTGCAGATGTAGCCTTTGAGGGAACCCAGAGATCTCTTAACCACAGCTTGTATGAGCCAATGCGTAAATAATGTTCTTGACCTAGGCCCTGAATGCAAATCCAGAGATAGATCAAAATGTTGTCATTTATACACCCTGCTGTAAAATTCAATTTTAAAAAGCCCCCCTTGTATAACCTCATAACCACAGAGCAGTGCTGGAAATCTGTATGTAGATTTCATGGCATCCGGCCACTGTAAGTCTTTTGTCTCCTTGTCAGTTCTGCTTAGCATAAGATGAAAGGGGACAAAACGTTTCTACACAAGTTTGTTGGTAGGGGTGAAGCCTGACAATTGCCAAGGATTGTTTTTGGAAACAGTGCAAGCCCTATACAAAATCCTTGTCGGCATGCACAACAGCTTTTGCTTTTTACTGCTAGGCCCAAAACTAACATTTTCATAATAATTTCCAAGTATCAAAGTGATAGGTGTTGGGTTTTATTTTTTACCCAAGACAGCTGAATACTGCAGAACTGTATAACAATCAGCTTGTGCCAAACATATGCTACGTATATATTTTAACACCTTTGATAATAATAAAAAGTGCATGTTCCTGGCCACTTTCGTTCAATAACAACATCCTTATGTTGATGTGTTTTGTTTTCCTTTCATATTATTACGAACCTGTGTTTAATTCTCAGTGCCAGCTTGGCTTTTTAACCTCTCTTTCTACATTCCACTAGTAATGTCTGATTAAGAAATTTAGCCTTTCAAGTGCTATTTAAAAAATCCAAGAAATACAGTAACACAATACCATGGAAAACTGATATAATCTTTTCAAAACTATAAAAATTGGTCACCCAAAGGAACATCTGCATGGTAAAAATTTTAAACAAACTGCAGGGGAATCAGATAGCCTATAAAGAACCAAGCGGCTAGGAAGCCTATTGGCCAGCCCACATTTTTTGCTGTCATCCTGATTCAGAAAGGACTATCTTTCTAAAGCCTATTGCTTCAGTGTTAGTTACCAGCATCTGGAACGAATTCCAGGATGGAACTCTGACGTTTTTAAAAGGAAATTCAACCTTACAATAACCATTCCTTAAATCATTAATATGGCAAAAGAGCCAGATGTAAAAGCATGAAAATAAAATAAAAACAAATAAAACAAAACACACTTCCAGATATCAGTCAAATCCCTAATGGGCATCTGTCTGTTCTCAGATCATTGGCATGGGTTGTTGCAGTCTCAGATAGTTTCCTTTCAATGTAAAACTTCCAACTGACTCGTTAAGCCTGGGGTTGTTGGATTCATTATTCCCCCTCTCAAAATAAGTCTGGCTCGACAGGCTTCGTGAGTTTCCCATCTACTGCAATACAGGCATCTCTTTAGCAGAAGATGACAGAACATTTGTCGTTTAGTCCTATTCAATAAGAGCTCTTCCACTGATCAAATTATTCAGAGAGTCTGCATTTGTCCCTGCCAAAACAGAGGCACCGGGGAAACTCTGACTCTGTGCGAAAAGATCAGTTAATTTACAGTGCAATCCTATATAGGGCTACTCAGAAGTAAGTCCCGCTGGGTCTATTGTGCCTTGCTCCCCAATAAGTAGGTGTAGGACTGCAACCTTAACTAGTTACCATTTTTTTATATTCAGTATTTGTATTCAGGTAGGTGGATAGGGAAGGAGGTGGATCAGCACCATGTATAAAATGGCTGTTTTTCTTTTTGTTTTATGGGAGAAGGAAAAGGATGCGTCTAAGTTGAATGCAAGCTAGTTGTATACGAATATCCCATAGTTATTGTATGTTTACAAGCATAATGTAAATTATCTGGGGTGGGAGCTCACCACTTCCTCATCAGTTGAAAGACATGCAGTCAAGTCCCGTTGAAATTAATGTGAAAAGTTAGACAAAAGAGGAAAGTGCAATGAATGAATGTGGGCTTCATGCATTAATGGAGGTCCTTTCTCAAAGTGAGACTGGGCAGGGGTGAGGGAGCTAGTCACTGCTGCTGCAGCAAGGGACGGAGTTTGGTGTGGTGGTGATGGCAGCAACAGCAGTGGGAGAGGTGAAGGAGGAATGTGGGGAGAGAAAGAAGGGGGAAGAGTGGTGGTAATCACAGCAGAAGCCACTTCTTCCATGGATGCATCCTATCCACCAAGGACATTATTTTTCAATACTACCAGACAGCTTTGATCAATAAAGTTTCAAAGAAATTCAGTGGCTCCTCCTTTGTTTCCCAGTGCTGGAATTACCCCCGCAATGCAGACCTCCCAAAGTTCAGGCTTGTACAGAAGCTCAGAAACTTGTTTGAGGATCAATGTTATGTTTGCAAAGGGTGGAGACATTTCTAGGGTGCTTTCATTTGAGGAAACTATGTTTTGTGTGGTTAACTTTTCATTTCAATTTGCTTCACTTGTATTCACCCCAACCCACTTCCTGGACCCTTCATGATGTGAAGAGCTTAGGGCATTGCCCTTAGTTTTCGGTATGAAAAATAAACCAATCTTAACTGGAATGGGGAGGTTCTAGGGTGAACTTCCTGTGACTAGTAACTGCATGTGCCCCCTCCCCAATTTGTATTAATGAGTCCAGGCTGTTCTCCGATCATTCTCTCAGCTTCTGTAATAGGGTAGACAAAAATGTTGCTTAGTTTGCAAAGATAGGCCTGCAGAGATACAAATGAGGTGGAAATAACATAGCGCAGTTCTGAAGTGGCAGAACAGACTAGGGGCAGGGCGGTGTTCACACTTTCTATCCTTTAACTAGCTTGCAGAATTTCCAGCTGCCAGGTTGCAGAACCCAAAACCTCCCTGGTGAAGGTATATAAACCTTTTGTGCATATGTGACAATCCATGGGGAAGCGAGATCCTTAAGTGAAACTTCGTTTCATTGTGAATCTCTTTTACAGCACAATTATGCTGAAGGCTCCAAACCAGATTTATTTATTTAAAAAGCAAAGAGATGAATAAGTGGGGCTTGTACACTCACACCGTGATTCATGTATGAAGAAATGGAAGCAGAGAAAGTATTTGATAGCTTGCCAAGTACCGTAATTCAAAGGAGCCTCAAGTGGGGCTTCCAAAAGTGCTTATGCACAAATGTGAGAGGTATGAGAAACAGACGAGGTTAACAATATATATGCATAAATGTGGGATGCTGGCAGCCTGGGATGGCCTTCATATAATTGTAAAACAGTGGCGGAAGGACAAAAGAATGGAAGCAGGATGCAGAGGGAAAATGCTTTTGAGATTCTATAAAAGGGGGGAAAATAAAGGATCGCAGCACTTTATGTAACCTTAGATTCATGTGTGCTAGAATTCAGGTAAAACTGTTAGGTGATGAGCCCTCATGTGCTCCTCTTCTGCCACTAAAATATTGTCATCATTCCACACCAGCAGTTTAGTCTGGAATTGTCCTCCTTTATTCACTCACATTTTACAGAGAATTTGATGGTTCCCTTCCCAGCCTCTTGCATTCCATTGTTTTCTGTCCCTGTATTTTCCATTTGAGTGAGGAAGCACTAACACAGGGTTAGCCAGTGTGGTGACCTCCACATGTTGCTGGACTCCAACTCCCTTCCGCCCCAAACATCATGAACAGTGGGCTGATGGGAGATGAGTCCAGCAAGGTAGTGCTACCTTGAATACAACCTCATGCCATTAACATAAAATGTGGTTAGGCTTTCAGTTGTGCAAAACAACAACTATTGGCTGCACAATAAAAGAAGGATAATAGGTGAATAATCACTCTGTGCCCAATTCACAGTTGGTGTGGTGTGGGTTTTTGATTTGGCTTGCCATGACTTTCTATATTTACGTTATTTTCTTTTCACTCCTTTTCATACAGAAAAATCAGTTTCAGATGTAAGATTAACATTTCACATGCTATACGTAATGAAAAGAACAAGTGGCTGAAGTAGGGTTGCC